GAGGAAGCCAAGATTGTCCCTTTGATGTGGTGTAAATCAGAGTGCAGAAATCTTCAGGGAAAAGTGAGGGAGATGGAAACATTGTCTTCAGAAGTTTATAGACTCGGTGATAGATATGTCAAGAAATAATAGTTTCACATTTTGCTATTTTGGGTTAATACAGGTTTCTATGATTCTGTTAGCATATTTTTTAATTTACCCTTGTATATTAACAGACCGAAAAAAAAAGAGAGAGAGAGAAAGAGTAGCTACCAAGGTTGTTTACACAACCAAACACCTCATGGGATTTGGTTCCTTGGTGTGGACGTTTGGGTCATAGTTTCATGGACCATCCCAATTTGCTGGCATAGTAATAGGCTTAGTGCGTCTGTTCTACCTTCTAATCACCTCCATGAGCAACTGCCTCCTTCAACTGCCATGAGATGACAAGGACTAGATGATGTCTCACTACCATTACTGAACAGTTTGATCAAAAATTCTATAGAAAAATCTGAATCAAAAGGTGGGGGAATGTAGAAGAGAATTTCAAATTCTCATGCACTCTGAACTTAATGGAGACAAGGAGAGTGCATGAAGTCCTGACATTATTGCTCAGAGATAACGTTTAAACTTTAAACCAATAAAAAGTACCCTGACTCCATCCTAAAACTGCACAGTGTTGTTGTTTTTAAGTGTTGTTGAGTCCAACCGGATTCATAGCATATGCAACGAAGTCTCAGTGTGCTTACTTCCATGGAGCATTTTGGCTTCACTTCTTCCAAGACAAATTTGTTTGTTCTTCTGGCAGTCCATTATACTTTCAATCTTCTTCGCCAACACCATAATTCAAATGCTTCAATTCTGCTCTGGTCTTCCTTATTTATTGTCCAACTTTTGCACACTTATGAGGAGGTTGAAAATGCCATTGATTAGATCAGGAACATCACAGTCCTCAAAGTTACATCTTTGCTCTTCAACCCTTTCAAGAAGTCTTTTGCAGCCAATGTGCCTATAGCAATGCATCGTTTGATTTCTTAACTGCTGCTTCCATGAGTGCGTATTGTGGAGCCAAATAAAATGAAATCTTTGACAACTTCAGACCTTTCTCCATTTGTTATGATCTTATTTATTGGTCCAGTGTGAGGATTTTTGTTCTTTACAATGAGGTGTCATCTTCAGTGAAGGCTGTATTCTTAAGTCCTCTTCTCTTTCTTGCAAGCAAGGTTGTGTCAAGTGAATATCACAGGTTGTTGATGTATTTTTCTCTTTCTTTAATCCGGATGCGGATTTTTTTCTCCATAGAGTACAGCTTCTCGGATTATTTGCTCAGCATATATGTGTGGTAAAAGAATAGAAACCTGTAATGCACCCTTCCTACTTTCAGTAGCCCCTTGTTGTTTTCTAACGATTGCTTCTGTACAGGTTCCTCCTGGGTGCAGTTACCTGTACAATGACTTGTAGTTTAATTTGCATTTCCCTAATGGCTAAGAATGTTGAGCATCTTTAATTTTTTTTT